CCCGGGAGTGGGCCTAAGACATCAGTCAGACATCCTTAGCGCTGCCACAGAGGCAGGAGAGGCTCCCGCCACCGCCTCTGCGCTCGCCAGCCATGAGCTTGGCTCAGGGCTTCTGGCTGAGCGGCACTCCCCCTGTGGGAGTGCACTGACCACCAGGGAGCAGCTCCTGCGTTGAGCACCTGCCCCCTGGTGGTCAGTGCACATCATAACAACCAGTTGTTCCGCCATTCGGTCGATTTGCATATTAGCCTTTTATTATATAGGATGTGCTTTTAGAAGGCTTTTATTAAAACATACTGAATTAGAATAAGTCATCTCATTTTAGAATGAGCCACATGCAAGAGACAAACACACACACACACTAGGACCTCTGAGTTCTGTGTATTCAGACTAAGAAAATGAATTCTTTCAAGAGCAAGGTCTCGGGAGTCTCCTTGTTTCCTTGACTTCACAGGTAGACTTGATTTTCAGACATGCCCCTCCCCTTTCCCTTGTGCTAAAAAAGAACAGATTTACTCAAATGGAGGCATCATCCTGGCTATGCAGTCACGCCTGGTTTACCGGGTATGGGCTTGTCCCAGAGGAAGAGCGGGCACACTTCTTCCCCTCCCCCTGGGAGCTACCTAGAGTCTGCCACTCAACACATAGACCCTCTTGGCAGAATACAAGGCCATGAAAGAACGCAGAGCCGTCAGGGCTCTTCCTAATTTTATATCAATCGGGACTCACTAACGTTATGAGCAACCTGACCTCCCAACTCTCTTGGAATCTTTTTGCATCTTGTCCTCCTCAGGACAGATTCTGGCCTGGGAGTATGTTTGCTTCTTCTCAGTATCCACTCGCTTTTGCTGCCAGTGGAAGGTGGCTATAGAGATACCGCCATGTGGCTTGTCCCAGACAGAAAAGCCAGTGTCACCCACCTCCAAGGAGCTCCCACCCCTGCCGTGGACTCCAGAGCACATTCATGGAGTTCCACAGATGGTACCACTGGGTCAGGGAGGGAGCACCTCCGAGATGAACCGCCATTGAGAGTCAGCATGGTGACATTACCGAAGCTAGGGGAGCTGACCCAGGACGCCAGGCCCTGCTCTGGCCCTGGGAGAATTCATGGCAAGACTTCCTGCCAGTTATTTCACCTCAGTGAGTCTGTTTCCTCATCAATACAGTGAAGTATTATACAAAGTTATAGGTATGCATCCTGCCAATTCTAAAAGCCTGTGCTTAGACTTGCTAACTTAAACTCAATAGCCCTCACCCCCACAGGAATATATTCAAAAGAAATTAGCCAAATTAGGACCAAAAATTTATATATAAAGGTACATGGCTTATAAAAAGATACCTGGAAAGAGCTAAATATATATTTAACAATAAGGATGGCTAAATATATTCTGATGTATCCAAATAGAATGACATGCAAATATTTTAAATATTTTGAAAGAATATATACCATACTGTGTTTATTTTACATGTCATTCATTAAACAAAAGAAAGCAAATTCAAAATGATCCAAGAGTTTTAATACATAAATTAAAGAAATACACCAAAATGTAGACCTTGGTTACCTCAGAGAGTGGAATCATGTGAGCTTCAATGTTATTTCATAAATCTTTACATTTGGGAATAAATTTCCATAGGTGAGTAGGATAAAATGACTCAAGGTTCACAGTAAGTTATCTGTAGGATATGTAGCCATCAATTTCACAGTGCTTTTAAAAAATATATTTTCTGTGATGTGTCAATAGCAGGAAATCACAAAGAACCCCTATTATTTACAGCACCATTAATACAATTCAAAAGAGCGATGTATGTTTCAAAAACATCTTAAGGGTAAAATAGATTATCTTGATATTGAGTTATATAAATTGAGATAGCTTGCAACAGCCTTGTTCTTTCATAAGAAATTTTCATGAAATAGAGTAGATATTAATCTGATTAATATTTTTTCAGTCAGCTGCTCAAAGTGGCCCAAGAAACTATGTGCTTGCAAAAATTGTCCAGATTAGAATCTCTTTTTGTCATTGTTGCTATTAGCAAGTTTTCTTATTTGCCCCCCCCCAAAATAAAACACTTGTGGTATCATAAAAAACATTTTTAAATGTGACCCCCCCCCAAAAAATTTGCATTTGCAGAGGTTCAAATTGTTTTGTCTTATTTTAAATGTATTGACATGAGCAGCCAAGGGTTTTTTGTAGCCAGGCTGCTTAATTCAAGCTTGTGACCTCAGAGCCCATTCTGTGACCTTGAGTTAGTGGGAAATTAGGTGCTCTCGTGTCTGAAGAGAGAGCAGTGAAGCAGATAACCTCCAAGCACCCTCCCCTCTCTGCAGGCCCAGGGCTTGGCGAGCCCACTTCCTGTTCGTTCTGGAGCTTTATGTGGCCAAGACTGTTTCTCCCCAGGTGACTGGATTCTTCCTAGGAATTAAGTGGGTCATACCAGCACAGATTACAAAGTTCGTTCACACTGAGCGAGACGTTAATCCCAACATTGGCCAAAGGGGATTTAAAACTTTATGAAACCAAATATACTGACGTCATATGCGCTAATGCTCAGGAGAATTCAAACCAGTCGCTTTACCACCTGACACAGGATGTTTGCTGACCATGTGGAATGCTCCAGTAGCTGGCTCCATTCACTAGACAAATGGCAGACTCTTAAATTTACAAAATGAAGAACATTTAGGTACATGACCAATCAGTAGGAGAAAAAAAAGACTCAAGGTAAAGAAATGAAAGCAAACAGTGAAAGTCTCTATTCAGCCAGCCACCTGAGAACAGTTATGAATTATTCAGATTGTGGTTCTCTAAGTCTTTCCCTCGTCAGCTGCTCTGCAGAGGACTAGGGGTTCAACTGTCCAGGACCCATGCTTCCTGCCTTTTGGCTGTTCTGCCTTCCTCACACCCTTCACAGGGCTGTGCTGTCATGAGTCACAACACTATTTTAATAATCTCTACAGATACGTTGTAGGGATTTTTTTTTTAATGGTAGAGAAACCTTGCAACGTGCAGCGGCATTCATTTTATTCTTTCTGGCAACTTCCTGTGATGGAAATTTTTCTCTGTCACGTTTTTTGTTTTTTTTTGGTTTTTTTGCTTCGTTTTGTTTTTAAACCCCCAGCTGCCTCTTTGCCCTGTAAGTCTTCAAAGAGATCTGAATGCTAATGTGCCTGTGCAGTTGGCTTTGGTGTCAGGTAATTTCCTGAGTTAGATGACGGTGGAGAAAGGTCTGTATTAGTGAGCTGTTTACAGCCCTTGTTACAGATCAAGGGGGCCTTCTAAAGGCTCCTGGTGACCCGACATCAGTAAGTCGTTAAATAGGCAGCCTGGGCGCATAGCTTTTATTCTGAAGCCTCTTGTGATGAAAATTCCTTCTACCCCATTTTAATTGGGGAAAAAATAGACTAGTCCTTGAGAATACAACATAAATATCAAAATGAGCTCTTTTACTGGGTGCATTTTTCTTTTATGTTTAGAATCTTCTTTAAATCAACTTTCAAGTTTAACACTCTTCCCATAATTCATTTAGCACTGGGAATATGCACAACCTTTTGACCGGTCAGAACCTCCTAGAGGGTTTGTAGGGGACAGCAAGCAAGCCTCGCTGTTTGTCTGAAATGATCATTGTATTTATATGGTGTCACTATCCAAACTCATACTGTGAAGGGTGAGATTGATCGTGTGTATCTGGTTGGGAGTGACAGTTTGATCAGCCAGGGAAAGTCAGGTGCCAGCGAGCTTTCTCATCGTCCCTCTTCCTCAAAGCGCACGAACATTTTCACTAAATGACACCAGCCATCGTTTGTTGAGCACGTGGTGTGTTTAAAGCTCAGTTCTTGCTGGTTTCTCATTTCATCCCTTTCATAACGCTTTAAAGTAGGGACTTCACAGAAGAGCAGCTAACGTTTAGAGACGTTGAATAATCCACCCAAGACCACAAAACTAAAATGGGCGAGAGTCCGGTTTCAAACCCACGTCGGTGTGACTCCGCAATTGCTCCTCTGAGGAGCTCCTGGCCTCCGCCTCCCTTTGCATGCAGAGCCCTGAGGAGAAGCCTGTGCAGATTCCTCCTGAGTTCAGCCCAGCAGGGAAGGCTGCGCTCCATGGGGGTTCCCTCCAGGAGCCGGGCAGCACACTCATCCCCTGCTTTATCTATTCCAGAAACAGCCACTGTGCCCTGCCCTGTGCCCCAGGCACCAGGACCCTCATCAGCCTTCCTCAGAGTGCTGGGAATAAACTGGGGGGATTCCTTAAAGCTTGATTATGCAGCTGTTGGTTTGGGGGAGAGGGCCCCAGGACTGTCCAGAGTTGCCAGTGTCCCCACTCCAAGACCTCCACTCTTCACGTAAAAGCCCAAGTAGAGTTGGTTGATTCTAGGAGTTTGTATCACCACAAATCCAAAGCTGTGATCACATTCAATAGTACTGAAACCGAATCTGTTTAAATAATGGTTAAACACAGGGTGCCGGTGGATTTTTAGAATGGAGCTTTTTACCTCCCACCTCTGAGCTCTGATTAGCACTTTGCCCTAGAAAAGCACTTTGAGACTAGCCCTTCAAATCCTAACGTAGTGTTTTCAGCATCTGTGTTTACTGAGTCATTTAACATGTTTTTAGATTTTTAAAGGAGCTGTGAGGTATTGCTGCATTTCCTGTTGAGTTGGTAACTGGCCTTTAAAAATGTTTGGTTAACAGAAGTGGTAGATAATCATCAGTATTCCCAGGGATTAGAGGCAACTTAAAACTGCTTGCGGTTATTTCATTAGTTGGTCGCAATGCTTTGGACACCTCCTATTCTTATACCTCTGTTATTCCTTTTTCTTCTTTTTTCTTGCTCACGAAGTTGAGTCAGCAACAAAAATATATTCAAATTCGACTTGTCATTCAGGCACACAAAAAATCTGACTTTGTCAGGGTGGGTGGAGGGGAGAAAAGCAACTTTTTTGTCAGTCTTTTGTATTTCAGCAGCTGGATTCATTGCTACCATGGTAACGGGCCACATGATGAGGTGTATTAGATTGCTGTGTGTTGAGTACAAGGGGAAGAATGAGCACAGCGTTTTACTGAAGTGAAAGGTTACTGTGGAGTTTCTTCTGGGGAAATGCGTAAGGTCAGATCCTGTAGCGCTCAGCCTATGTAGTGCTTCAGAGGAAGAACTGGGGGCTTGGTGCTGCAGTTAACTACACAGCCAGGTAAGGCACGGCCGCCTCTATGAACTGAACTCTTACTGCTTCTGTGGCAGTGGCATAACTCGGGTGGCATTTCACTGCCGCCCCCACGTGGGTGCAGGACAGATGTCTCCTGTCCCCCTCCCCAACTCCCCCACCTTCAAATTCATGTCGTTAATTTGCAAATCTAAAGCGCTGTGAGTGTTTATAGTTCTGTGGCAATGTGTGCGAGGGGGTGTGGAGGGGGTGTGTGCGAGTAACAGGGAAGGACCTGGAGAGGATGTAATAAAATGTGACAGTCAGTGTCGTCAGACCGATGTGCAGCTGAGCAGGGTTTCCTCGTGCCTCTCAAGGGTCCACTTTTCTTGGAGGACACCTGATCGTGGCGTCGGTCCAAAGCTGCTCGGCTCGCGTCCTAAGCTAAGCCGCGGGACAGAGTTCTCCTGCATGTTCGTTCTGTATTTATTGTATCTGAGCTTTTTCCCTCTTTCATCATGTGTAGGCCAGCCTCATCCAACAGGAATGGTTCTGTTTTCTCTATACTTTTTTACAGCATATTTGATTTCCATTAGTATTCTGTTCTTTCAGGCATGGTGGTCGGATGTGTCTAGAGGGTTTAAAAATAGAAGTAAATACAATCCGGGTTAGTATAAAATGAACTCTTTTGCGTAGAGGCGGGTGAGAGCAGGAGGCAAGCAGTTTGGGGTGGCTTCCCGAAGCATCAGTCCCCAGAGCGGGGACTCCTCCTCCTGCCTTGTCTGCAGATCCCCTGGCAGCCTGCTTCCCAGGGGGAGGCTCTGACAGGCTCACGTTAAAGGAGGAAATTCCTTCCTGAATGACTTATTTGGTTTCTTGCTCGTGGTTCCTCCTGATGCTGATGTTTGGTTTTCTCGTGAGACATGTGGTTTAATGTTTTCGCTGGGGGCGAACCTGTGCGACTTCCCTGCTCTCAGAGCAAAGCTGAGTTGGCAGCTTTGGAGGCAACAGCTAACACCGCAGCAGCAGCGTCTCCGTGTTATTCAAGTAAACTCCCTGCCCAGTTTCACCGGAGTGTTTTCCTGTAGGAGAGCCGTGGAAACATGCTTTCTCAGCTAAAATCAGGTATTTGCCACTCATTGGCCCTGATCATGATCAAAGCCAATACATTATCCCAAGTTTAGTCATAAACTACTCTTTCTTCAAAAAGAGAAACTTAGATTTATTAAGTCCATTTATGCTCCATGATTTTAATTGTATTTCTTTTTTTAATATATTTTTATTGATTTCAAAGAGGGAAGGGAGTGGGGAAGAGAGAGAGAAATATCAATGATGAGAGAGAATCATTGATCAGCCGCCTCCTGCAGGCCCCACACTGGGGATCGAGCCCTCAACCCAAGCATGTGCCCTGACCGGGAATCGAACCGTGACCTCCTGATTCATACCAGTAGATCGATGCTCAACCACTGAGCCACGCCAGCTGGGCTTAAGTTTCATTTTGTGATAAGAAGTTTATATTTTAGGGAATATAACAATGATTTGAGATATATATATAGTGAAATGATTAATATAGTCAAGCTAATTATCATAGCATCTCTTCAAATAGTTATCATTTGTTTGTGTGTGTGCTGAAAGCACCTGAAATGTACCCTCTTAGCAAATGTCCAGTATGAACAGTAGTCACCAGGCCGTACAGCAGATCTTTAGACTGGCTCATCCTGTGTGACTGCAACATCTCCCTGTTTCTCTCATCCCCCAGCCCTTGGTAACCACCATTCTACTCTCTGCTTCTATGTATTTGACTTTTTAGATTCCATATATAACTGAGTTCATTCAGTATTTTTCTCTCTATGTCTGGCTTACTACACTTAGTAGAATGTCCTCCGTGTTATTCCATTTTGTTGCAAATGGCGGGATCTCCTTTTTTCAGGCTGAATAATATTCCATTGTGTGTATGTACCACAATTTCTCTATCTATTCATGTGTTGACAGACAACTAAGGTTGTTTACATATATTGATTATTGTGAATAATGCTGCAATAAACATGGGAGTGCAGATATCTCTTCCAGGTACTAATTTAATTTCCTTTGAGTTTATACTCAGAAGAGGGGTTGCTGGATCATATGGTAGTTCTATTTTTAGTTTGGGGGTGGTGTGTTGTTGTTGTTGTTTTGAAAACTCCACACTATTTTCCATAATATAAGTGGAAGAGCCACTTATAGTTGTTTTGATACTTACATTGTTGAGAGGCAAAATGACTTTTGATGCCATTGCTTCAAATTAGAAATTTTGCCAATATTGTTTAATTGAATTATGTTTTCCTCATCCCTTGTTTAAATATGCTTTATTGTTAATTTTGGGTGATTAGTAGTGTTGAATAATCCTTATTATTTTGGCTTTAATTTCTAGAGCTCCCTAGCCTCTCTGATAAATAGTTGATTATCTGTAAACATTTACCTTTATTAAGGAGATAGATATTCAACACAATCATGATAAAGAAGAATCATATTGACTATGTAGTCTCATCTGTAAAATTAATAATAACCTTTGAGCCCTGAGACAATATTTCTAAAATAAATGAAGACCAAGCTAATAACAATATCAGCTAGACATTCCATTCACCTACTAAACAACAGTTGGTTGCTTCTGCTATAAATACCCGTGTGCAGGTTTTTGTATGGGCATAGTTTTCAACTCCTTTGGGTAAATACCAAGGCGTGTGATTGTTGGGTCATATGGTAAACGTATGTTTCATTTGTAAGAAACCATCGACTGTCTTCCAAAGTGTCTGTACTAAGTTGCATTCCCACCAGCAGTGAATAAGTGTTCCTGCTGCTCAGCTTCCTCACCAGCATTTGATGTTGTGGGTGTTCTGAACTGTAGCCATTCTAATAGCTGTGCGATGGTATGTCATCATTGTTTTCATCTGAATTTCCCTGATGACATGGAATGTGGTCAACTTTTCCTATGTTATTTTCCATCTGTATATCTTGTTTGGTTCGGTGTCTGTTTAGGGCATTGCCCATATTTTAATCAGGGTGTTTGTTCCATTATTGTTGAGGCTTAAGAGTCCTTTGTATGTTTTGGACAACAGTTTCTAACAGAAGGGCTCAACAACAAGGAAACGAACAACCTGATGAAAGCACGGGTCTTCTGAAAAGATTTCTCCCCGTCGGGGGCTTGTCTTCTCCTTCTCGATCTTGTCTTTCACAGAGCAGACGTTTTAAACTTTAATGACATCCATCTCCTCAGTTATTTCTTTCATGGATCATGTCTTTGGTATTATCTTTACTAATTATTTTTAAATACATACAAATTAAATAAACAAATACTATTTTAGTCTTCAGCGAATATTTTTAAAAGAGAGAACTAGGAAGAGGAGGGGAGTTAATACCCAGTGTTAGGGAGGGTGTAGGAAACATGACCCGTCGCACACTGTGGTGAGAATTAAACTGATACTTCGAGGGGAAGTGGTCCGCCTGGCAGTGCACAGCGAACGCTTTAAATATTGCAGAGCCTTGGACCCAACAACTCTCTGAGGAAAATGGCCTAACCAGTAAAGCCAAACATATGTGCCAGTTTTTCATTACTGCGATGGTTATAAAATCTGAGAAATGGAACAAATGCACCAGCTCAGATTGCTGAGCTGATAGGAGAAAGCGGTGAGGAGTCAGAGGCGTGGCTGTGTGGCTGCCCAGCTGCTCCACTTCTCTATCTTTACATAGAACGTGGACAGGCAGCACGGTATGGAGAAAGGGCCTTGGCTTAAGTGCCAGGGCGCTTGGGCCCCGCTGCAGACTGGCTGAGCTAATGTAAGTATACAAATGTCAGGCATTATTAAAATCCTGACGTTAGAGAGGAGAAACGTCTGTGGGTCCCTTTTCCACCTACATGCATTTCTAATGTTGCAAATAAAATGTCCCCTACATATAAAAAACTTCAGGAGCCAGGCACTTTTATTATGTGTCATCTTTATTGCACAGAGGAAGACATCAAGACCAGAGAGGTAAAGTAATCTCCCCAAGGCCATAGTTAATAAGAGAGAGAGCCATAGTTAGTGGGGCTCAACCACTAAGCTAGCCTACTCTTACTCCATGAAAGTTTATTATATGTCAAGAGATGCTGTTTACAAAGTACCTGACATTTAGTAAGATGATAGTAAGATGTTAGCAATTATTATTGTGTAATAAGATTTAGAAGGTGTTCTGGTATTTATGTCCTTCTGCACAGCACTGCTCAGAAACAGTGAGATTTTTAGGGCAGCTTTGGATTTTTCTTATGTAAGTTTGAGTACAGCTTTCTTTAGGAGCATGCCCATTGTAAATTGAAGGAATTCCTTTTTTACCCAATACTATCAAGCAGTTTGGCACCTTTGAAGTTTTCATCTCTAAGAATGTGCTTCATAGAAATGTTCCATATACATATCTACGTAGCTCTGACCTTTTGCCAAAGAATGACACTGGTAATGATACTATTATGAGAGCAAGCATATTCCCTTTCCTGGCTGGGTATTTGAATAGTATATCAATTTGTTCATTGTGGTCTTGCTAGGAATTAAATGTTCTGACATTTGCATAACCTAAGGGAGTTCCTGAGAGGTTGGCAGCCGGGAAGGGGAATCAGGCCAGATTTAAAGGGAGGGATTGGTAGCAGAATCCTCAAGGTCACATGAAAGGTTCCAGACAGAACCCGACCAGGCCCTAGAGCAGTGATGGCAAACCTTTTGAGCTCGGCATGTCAGCATTTTGAAAAACCCTAACTTAACTCTGGTGCCGTGTCACATATAGAAATTTTTTGATATTTGCAACCATAGTAAAACAAAGACTTATATTTTTGGTATTTATTTTATATATTTAAAAAGAAAAATCAACCAAAAAAATGAGTTCGCGTGTCACCTAGAGCAAAATCAGGTACACCTCTGGGTTCTGCTCTTTTCCCTATGATATGGGTTAGTTGGGAGGTAGGTGGACTGTCACCTTCTGTACAGAAGAATGTTATGGAAAATTAGGTGACTTGCAATACAACTGAATTAAGAATGTCAACAGATGCAGAATTAAAAAAAACTTAAACATTCTAGATACAAACAGTGCAAGAACAACAGCTCTGATGCGCTGGAATTCCTGGAGAGAATGGTACTACAGTGGGGTGTGTTTGAGAGATGAGCAACAGACCAAGTAGAGGAGGTTTGGGGACACCCTGGCTCAGGGCAGCAGGGATGTGAGGACTCTAGAGGGACCTAGGAGAGAGGGCAAGGTGAGCCTCAAGGGTGACCAGCAGATGCCCATCGTCTGCATCTGTCACTCTTAAAGCTCCCTTTGTCTTTATTGGTGACTTCAGAGTGCTTCAGCTAATTATGTCATTGGGTACATGTGTCAAAGGACAGGGAAGTAGACCAGCAGACCTCCCACCGGGGGGGGGGGGGGGGGGGGGATGCCATGGGAAAATCTCTCTCTAGACATTTGTCCTCTGCTATGTCACCCCCATCTGAGATGGCTACCTCTCCATGAGCTTAGGAGAAGGTGTCTTTCAACTATTAGGCAGTACGTTGATAAAGTTAGTCACTCACAAGGTCTCCAAAGTCATCTCTGCAAATGTTATGTGTGATTATCTGGAGAGGTTTTTATTAACCACTAGAGGCCTGGTGCACAAAATTCATGCACTGGGGGAGGGGGGAATCCCTCAGCCCGGCCTGCTCCCTCTTGCAGTTCAAAAGCCCCCGGGGGATGTCTGACTGACGGCTTAGGCCCCCTCCCTGCTGTCAGTTGGACATCCTTAGCGCTGCTGCAGAGGCAGGAGAGGCTCCCACCACCGCCACTGCAGTCACCAGCTGTTAGCCCAGCTTCTGGCTTAGCGGCACTCCCCCTATGGGAGCACACTGACCACCAGGGGGCAGTTCCTGCGTTGAGCATCTGCCCCCTGGTGATCAGTGAGCATCATAGTGACCGGTCATTCTGGCATTTGGTTAATTTGCATATTAGCCTTTTATTATATAGGATAATAAACTAACATTTGTATTGTGACTTACCGTTTGCAAAGTATTTGGATTGCATTATATTTAAATTTCCTAATAATCCTTCAAGGAAGATGACATTATCACTCCCTGTTTAACTAAGAGGAAAATCAAGCTCAATTAATTTCTTAGAGGCACTGAGTCAGCAAGCAAAACATAGATTTTCACTTACTGATTCACTCGCACCTGCTGCTTTGCTCAAAGCCCTTCTCATCTTTACTAGTAAAAGTAAAACTCTCTTCAGTGACCGCCATTTGGCTTTAGAAAACTGCTATTACAAACAAAGAACACTCGGATTTACTTAGATTATTCCGATTAAATCCTCATTTTTTGTGAAGAGCAAGGTAGTTTATGTACACAGTAGGTATTTGTCTCTTTGTACCTCTCTTAGGTGATCATTCTGATTCTCACACATGTGATGAAAAGATTATTTTGGAATAGAATAGTCAGCAATTACAATTTCTAATGTGGGAAACTAATGTGAAAAAATATGAAGTAGGTTTTTTTTTAATTTAAGAAATTAATCTAACCTCTGACATCTAAGTGAGCAGATTTAAAATAACTCAGATGGCTAAAATAAAAAGACAAAAAAGCAGGCACTTTATACCTATGTAAAACCAATAAAAGGAAACTATTATGAGCCCCCAAACTACTCCCTCCCATATTCACACAACCACCAAACAATATGTATCAGTTTATCTTGCCGATGCAATGCCCTGTTATAGTCAGAGGTGTGTGTTTGGCCTTCATACTTACAAACTGTCTTCTTTACAGCCCTCCTTTGTCCAACATTGTTCTTGAGTTTAGCTCTCTTTCTTGTCTACCTGATATACCAAGCTCTGTGAGAACCAATGATGAAAGTCTGGGCAGGAGAAACAAAGCCAGAGCATGTGATCCTCAGCAACAGATTTTTCCAATTTAGCTAAACTGACGTCCTTTGGCCTTCTTTTTGCGAATACTTTTTTTTAATGTAAAAAAAAAACCCTTTTGAATTGCAACAGTTATTACCTTTGGTATTTAAAATTGTATTAAAAATTAAATTGTATTAAAATAATCCTTTAGATTTAAATATTCTCTTCTGACAGTAATGCTAAGTTCTGAGACTCTTGTTTAGGATTAAAGTTAGGCAAGAAAAGAATATTAAAATGAAGGAGAGCTTTTCTTACCAGCTATTGAGGAAATTATAAAGCTTAATTATAATTAAGTTGAATTATAATTAAAGAAGGTGTTGATAGAGACACAACCATGGAGTATGTACAAATGCTAGCATATATGATCAGACATCCTAGAGAAGCAGTACATACCACTAGGGGAGGTTATTGTTGTTATGCAGCAAATCAAACCATATTGGGAAGGAAAAGGTCTTCGTAATACAAAGTAATTCCAACTAGATTAGACTTATAATAATACTTAATACTTTAATACTTTGATATTTATAATAAATAAAGATGTAAGAATTAGAAGAAAATATTGGGGAATTTTAAAAACAGCTTTAGGACATATAATTGACAATGAACTACACTTTGTTTAAAGTGTACAAATTAACAAGTGTTGGCACAATGTGCATACCCTTCTTTAAACCATCTCTAGAAGCAAAATAGCAAACATTTCCATCATCTCCAAATGTTCCCTCAGGCTCCTTGGTAATGCAGCCCACCCACCCCTCCCCCTTTCCCAGCAACCACAGCTCTGCTTTTGGACACTATAGACTAGGATCATTCATAATACTCTTTTTATCTACTTTTTTCACTTTCAATATTTTCAGGTTCATTCATGTTGTTGCATGTATCAATATGTTTATTGCATTATTTATTCACTTGTTGATGGACATTGGGGTTGTTTCCAGGTTTTTATGATCACAAATAAAGCCACTGTGAACATTCATGTGAAAATCTTCAAATGGAATATATTTTCCTTCCTTTTGAATAAATACCCAGAGGAATTTTAAGTTATATGCAAAAGAAAAGAGTTTATAAGCATAACAATGAAGGTTCAAAGAGGAAAAAGTTATATTTGACAACATTTTAAATTTCTGCATATCAAAAAAATCTCATTAACAAAGTTACAGGAAGCCATTCTCATACTTTATTGGTGGAAGTATAAGTTAATATGATAATTCTGATAGCACTTTGACAGTATCATAAGTTTCAATGACTTTGAAAATATTTGCAACCTTTGATAAAATTTTCACTTTGATTTACCTGGAGAAATAATATGGAATGGACACAATGATGTATGTACAGAGACTCTTTTAGCATTACTTATAGCAGTTAAAGACTGGAAACAACCAAACATCTTATAACAGGAAAATGAATAGCTAGTGATTTCATAACTAAGAAATCTTATGCAGCTGCCCACAAGGTGGTTATGAAACTATATCATAAACTACTGGTCGGGGTGGAAGTTGCTACAAATTTTTTGGAGAACAGTTTGATAATATTTTACTAGGGGTAATTTACTTAAAATGCTTATGAGCAGTAACTTAGTAATTCTACTTTTAGGAATATCTGAATGGAAATACTTTTACACAAAAAATTATAAACAAGCCCTCACCCCCCTGTTGACTGCATGAGTAGGGGGGTCAGGGGGAAAATGGGGAGTAAGGACAATATGTAATACCTTAATCAATAAAGAGATTTTAAAAATTTATAAACAAGGATATTCATCACAGTATTATTTAAAAACAAGAAAATTTTAAGACAGGCAAATCCCCAACAATAGATAAATTAGATTAATAGAGTCAATAAAGGATTTAATCAATTAAATTATGGAACATCTATATGAAGGAAATAATTTAAATGTCCTATAAAAGTGTTGAGAGAGAATATGCATTTTATAAAACATCACCAGCCATGCACTTGATATTGAAATTTAAAGGTAGAGAAAGAGAGAAGGAAAGGGAGCAGAATGTTAGTAATGATTAATGTATGGGTAATCGAT